TTTTCTACCTTTCTTGAAAAATGCTTAACTACGTATTTTGTACTTAACTTTCTCCAATTATTCTAAAACATAAAGTGACAAAGTATGTTTACTTATTGTTATCCTCATGTATGAAAATAATAACAAAATAACCAAAAATAACGCATTTCTTCTTCAAAGGACTTTCCACAGCAAAGACTACTTTTATTCTCTATCTGAGTATCAACAGCTAACATCACTCAGGCCTCCAACTCTCATGCGTGTCATCTAACCCCATTAGCAGCCAATGTCTTTTCAGGAGCAGAGCCGGCATGGTTCAGAGGATGGAAATTTCAATCTGCTCTCTATCATTTTGTTCCTATCATTACTACATCTGCTCCGGTCTCGAGAGACGCGAAAGGAGGGCATCACACACACACACTGCGGCCAACTTTAATATGAAGAGAGCGAAAAGTGAGCGCAGTTGTTTATACATTATTAGTAGTCTATTATAACGCAGATATCACACCCTTTCCGCCGTTTCCCCTTGCCCCGCGCGCCTGACAGGTACAGCGGCGCGGCCCGACTAGATGACTAGACTCAATCACCTGTGACAGTTTTGATTTGATGTCACTCTCTGGGTCGCTCTATTTGTTTGAGCAGTTAAGAGGTAATTGTGTGACATTGGCGGTGGAAGACGTGCTTTGGCGCTGCACTCGCTGAACCGCGGGGACGAGACGAGGGAGCGTGGCAATAACAAATGAGGCCTATTACGGAGCGCCGTTCCCAGGCAGTGCGTGTGGATGTGTGTGTGCCCAAAGAGGTGTGCTTGAAGCTGATGGGAGAACAAGAAGGGGTGATGAGCCTGTGGACCCGCGGGGAACTGCGCTGAGATGCTCATTGAGGTCAGCGGCGTGCACACTTATCATGACTTCCTCTGACTTCAGCCGCTTCTTCATGTGGGGAACTTCCTTTTTTGAAACGTTGGCTCATTTATCCTGGATTTGAAAGATGCTGACCAAATATGACTGATGTTCTTATGGCGGATGAATGAGACAATAACGCGCCTGTCAGTAGTGTGCGCGTCAAGATGAATTCAAATCGGCTCGGCTAATTGTAGTGGTTGCAACGAGCAAATCTCAAATGTTGCAATTGTTTAGGCTGCCCGGCTGGTGCTATGTGTACTGGGTAGCATCTCTGCCCACCCCCCCCCGACCCAGAAATGGATTAAGGGGTAGAAAATGGATGGATTGATGGATGTCTTTTGTAAACTTAAAATAGAAAAATAGGGAAAGAATATTATTGCCAGTGCTCATGCTTCACAGAAAGAGGTTGTTTTTTTTCTGTGTCGGCCGGGTCATTTTGTGTGGAGTGTATATTTCTCCCTGTGCCTGAGTGAGTTTCCTCCGTGCGCTCCGGTTTTTTACCCACTACAAAAAGCATGCACCATAGGCAAAATACTCCAGCGACAGCCCAGACCCAGAGTGGCAACATCAGAGAAATGGGTCCCCAGCAGGCGCTTCAATGGAGTGGAGGGGGATCAACATTTTTAAAGTAAGTAATGTTTATTTATATAGCACATTTTACAGACCAAGGTCACCTAAAGCGCTTTACAATGTTCAGAGTTCAGATATTTTTCATTCTCTCCTCACACGGAGATGACGGATGCGAGACGGCGAACACACTGGCGCACCAAAGCCCCCAATCAACACCTTCCATTTACCCATTTATTCAAATCAATTGTACATGCGTTTAGTGTTGAGGGAAACCGGAGCACCCAGAGGAAACCTACGCACACCCGGGGAGAACATGCAAACTCGACACAGAAAGGCCTAGAGGTGGAATCAAACCCAGGACCTTCTTGCTGTAAAAAAAACGAACTCTAACCGCTGCACCACCAATGTTTCAGGCCCACTTTAGTGAACCACATGCCTGCTCTTGGGAAAATGAGAAAAATAAAGGAAAATAAATACTTTTATATTATGTGTATATTATTAAGCCCCGTTCCTACCATCTCCAAATTGCCGCACTGTTCTTGCTTTTTGGAAGTTTGTTAAATAAAAATCAGCCGCATGTCTTTAGTAGAACAAATGCAATGTCCTACGGTGCCACATGCGTCAGTGCAGGTCACACGGGGGAAGTGGTGGGCGGGCTTTGATGGAGATGAGTTTGAGCTAGTTGCTTTTCATGTACTCAAATGAAGATTTTCAACACAAGTGCAGCTCTGTGCCATGTCTGGGTCCTGAGTTCCTCCAGAGATGTCAGGTTACAGCAGAAGTACCACCATTTTGTTGTGGAGCTATGCCAGCGTGAACACCAGTACTTCCTTCTCGTCGTGATTGTGAAAGGAGCACTGGTTTAGTCATCACTGTGCCCCCCATGGTCAGTCCTGGTATAATCCTGGTTTAATTCTTGTTTTGGCTGCTGTTGAGTGTCTTCTTCCAGCTCTGAGTGGCTTTTGTCCCCAACACCAATGAGCAACTCATAAGTTTTTGCTGCTATTGGACACCTTAATTTGTCCAGGGATCAATCATCAAGTATCTAACAAACTAACTAACTAATGTTGGCACAGTGACTTCCGCTTCTCAGCAAGAAGGTCCTGGGTTCAGAACAAGGACATGAGAGTGCATGAGAGCCACACACGTAAATTTTAAGGCTTTAGGTGCTAAGAAGAAATACAACATGAACTTTTGAATCCAGGACTTTCTACAAAGCGACCTGGCTTCCCACAAATGTTTACGTTTTTCTTTAAAGTTTTTTCTTTTATTTGTTTCTGTTTGGGATTTGAGCAGTCCTTGCTCTATCATAAAGGTTCCATGGAAATCTGGCGCGTAAATGGTAAATTTTTCTTTCTTTTTTTCAAATGTAGGGTTAAACAAGGCATGTTTGTGCTTTTATGGCCAAATGTGCTTTAAAACAGAGAACAGAAATGACCAAATTCAAGCATTCAGTAAAATGTATTAATTTACTGTTTTGCAGTTAGTCAATGCATTCAGTTATATGAAATATGTGGGAATCTAATTAGACTCTCTTGAAGTTGTATCATTTATGCAGCACACAAAACACTAGCTAACATCTGAGATCACACAAAGCTTTTTGGGGCTGCAGCATACATTTCTCTTGAGTCTCAAAAACTCTACAAAAACAACTTAACAACAAAAATACAAGCCCAACTCTCAACAACAGTCATATCAAAGGAATTCACATCAGTGTTTATTTACCAAATCCAATCTCAAAGAGAAACAATCATTGGTAAATAAAGATGAACAGATTTAACACACGTTCGAGGAATTAGTGTAATGGAAACTATCCCAAAAAAACCAATGAATAAAGCCTTTGTTTGTATGGAATATATGTACGAGACATTTTTATTAGATTCAATCACAATGTGCTAGTGGTCTACTTCTATATTTTAAAGTTATGGTTTAAGAATCATGTATGTGGATCCAATATTACGGTAACTTAAATCTGATAAGAATGTGGTTTATGCTCAGCCTCTCAGCCCTCAATGTATTCCGTCAGTCTCTCCTGGCGCTGAATGCGAGAGATAATCTAGAATCCTCCTTTTCTTATGTAGAAGAGAGAAATCAAAACTGCAAATCACCCAGAATGAGATTTTCCGAAACCTCTGTCCTCTGTCTCGCACATGGACGTGAAATGGTCAAATACTGGACAATCATTTTAGACTGACATTTTTGCTCCAAAGACTTTTTTTTTCTTCCTATGGGACAAGTACTAGCAGTGCAAGTGCCAGCAGAAAGGCTTTCTTATTCTCTCCACATTGAGCTGATCCATTTGTTTGTTATCTCTATCCTGGATTTGGAGAGATACAAAGCTGATTATACAACAAAAGCATATGGGCAGATAAAGAACACTTAGGTAATGGGTTTAGCCTGCCTGTTTAGCACGCCAAAATCATCCCTTTCTCTCAGCTCTAAATGCATTTGTTATTCTTTTCTCAGACTTGATCCAGATGGGAACGACAGTCAGAAAGTAAGAAAGAAAACAGAAAAAGAGTTGAGAGTTTGAGAGTTGAGTACAGTGTCTGTCTGTTCAAACCGTTATCGCTCAGCCTGAAGTCCTTCATCTACCGAGTCTGACTCCGACTATTGCATACATGGAATAATGTGTAGTTAATGGTGGTGCACCTAGATTTCAAAACCTCAAAAAGAAATAAAAGAAATTGGCCAATCAAAATCATGATTTTTTTAATTTGTCATATTATGTTTTATAAATACATATCTGAAGTATAAAATAAAGGGTGAAACAAAGTTTGAAGGGTAAAAAATGTTTTTTTTCCTTTTTCTCAGATTTGATAACCACCATTTGCAAACACAGGTTTGCGATCGTAAAGAAAAAAAACGTAATTTGACCTGAGAAATTACCCAAACTAATATATGGGCAATGCTTTTGTTCTAAACGGCTAAAACTTGTGAGTGTGACGTCATAGCGGTACAATGACGTCATAGCGGTACAATGAATCATACTATTACAGAACTGAGACGGAAGGGGTATAGAGTTACGTGTTTATGCTAGAAGTTTATATTAGCGTGGATGGATTTTCTGGAAGGGAAAAAGTCAGGTAGCCCAGCTTTAAGCAGCATTTGCTATGAACCTGCTCAGGTACCTCCACCTGCCTGTCTCTGTGGAGCTCTGATGTTATTGTTTTGAACTCAGTTGAAATGGCTTTTCTTTCTTGATTATGTTCTGTGACACTGTTTCCATGACGATCTGGTTGCAAATCCAATCCTGTCCTCTGAATGTACTGTACATGTATAAACATCACCAGTGCATGAAACATCATTTGCCTGTAACCACTTGATTGGGATCCCTCTGTAAACCAATTGAGTTCTGTTCGTCTCCCTCTTTCTCGGTGAACCTGGCTGTGAGCTTAACTCTGCCTCTGATAATACAGCGCACACAGGTCAGTGAACAGTGTGAAAAGTCTTGGCGGCAGAAAACATATTTACGCTCCTCCCGCTGCTTCCCCTCACGAAAGCATCCATGAGAAAGGTGCTTACTTAGACGAGATAAAGAGGGCGATGAGAGGCAGCGGACTTGGATTAGGCGAGGGAGGGGGGCAACTGGGGCGGGTGGAGGACCGTGAGGAGGCCATGGAGTCGGTGTCTGGGTTGGTTGGATATGGGGGGAATATTAATCCTGGTTTAGTGTGAGCAGGACCCCACAAACGGCTCAAGCAAACAGAGCTTAGATGGGGCCAAGCCTCGGAGAAAGTCCTAAATCTTCACATTAGCTCCCCGCGTTTCTTCTGCTGAACCTATAAGCTCTTTTTCTAAAGGACAGCACAAACAAACCGCAACCCCCCTCCCCAGAACTACCTCCTCTTGCCAGTACTATACTTCCAAACACACACACTCAAAATCAAGACGGATTTGAGAATTGAGATTGCGAGACAAAATTTATAAATCCTGGGTCTGGAGTGGATATGGCGGCGATTAGACAGGTCTCGTTCTTAAAGCGACAGGATGCCACCCGATTGTGCTCCTTATTCTCCTGTGTGCCCTATTTCAGTGTCAGTGAAGGATGAGAGCGCACGGAGTAACCCCTTTAGAGAGCTGGGGTCAGCCGATAACCTCAGGGATCCACAAAGACCACTAACAGAAATCTGGGGTTTAGGAGAGCACAACTTTGGTACCGTCTAATCATGGAAGCATCAAACTTACTACAGCTAATGGTACGATCTCATGACTAAAAATAAGTTCCTCTCAAATTGTAATATATGATTTATTACTCATTAATGGGATTAATATGCAATATCTTTTCGTTATAATATTACCAATTTGTGAATTAATTGAGTTACTTTTAGTCCAAAGCACAAATCATATGACCAGTACACACATGTTTGAATCATGTTTAAGTCTAAGCGTTGTGGCAAATAGATCAACTGTCTTGGGATGCAGCACAGAGGCTTTGCATGATGGGTAAATGCAGAAGACTAATTTCACTACAAGATAAAATACAGTGTACCTTATCCTTTACCTATTAGTTTTGTTTCTTAACTGAATTTTAAACAAAGAAGCAAAGCAACTGTAGGATTGTAGTGTGTTGCCTCTCGGCGGGGTATGAGTTCTCCGAGTGAACATTAGATCTTGATTGTGGTATTGTGTGTGTGTCCAGTTTATATTGTGTCTTGACATCAGGCTGCTGCTGTAGTTGTACTGTTGATTGTTACCATAGGTCACTCTTCAAAGATACTGAATCTCAATGGGACTTCCTGGTTAAATAAAGATAAATAAACAAAAACAAACATATGGAACTAAGTTCAGCACATTTACATGTACTGTCCCAAATGAGAACAAAAATATTACCAATTTACATTTTTGCATTGAGTAACTTCAAAAGTGTATATATTACAGTGATTAACTTTGTGTTGGGTAACTGCTTAGATACTAATTAATTATACTTGTGTTGTAATATTACTATTTTTAATAGTTACACTGTTTTGAATGATTTTTAGTCCAGGACAATAATCAGTTCACACTGATAGTGTTGGAAGGACATTAATATACAGTAAGTCTTATCTAAAATACCTCTGCTGTTTCATGAGAGATATTTTTTGTTCCACACAAAGGTTATAGTAACTTTTAAAGATCATCTTTGTTTCCTCAGATAACAGCAAACAAAGAAAATGCACTTAGTCTGCATGTAAAAAGAGTTACTTTTGTAATGAGTTTAACAACTGAGTCACTTCACAGGGAATATATTTCTGTAGAATATTACAAAAGTAAGCAGTTACTCCCAACACTGTTTATAGTCCAAGGACGTCTAAATAATATTAAAAGGTGGTTGTGGTGGAGTCCGTCCTCTGATCTGAGCACCTTCTCTTGAATAATGTTGCCAAAAAAGCATTTAGGTAAATATCACAATACTCCATCTGTCAAGTGCTAATGTTTGATGGCATGACATCGCTGCTATATTTGACGTCCACATATCTCCGCACTGGAGCGAGAGCGCCCCATGAGAGGGGGGTTGCTCAGGGGATAGGGGTGAGTCGCTGAACCTCATCCCATCACCCGCAGCTTCATGGCGGGGATGAAGCCGGCCAAGATCTCCTTCTGACTGAGTTTCATTAACCTGACCGCATGTGCCAAAAGCCTGGTATTAGGACACACTCGCTCCACTCTTCTGGGTCGAGGCTCATCCCGCTGCCTTTAATGTTCAGCGTGCATGTATTTTCTCAGCCAATCAGACAGACACAAACTGAAGGCCGTAACTGCATTTAAACCGTTTACGAGGTTGAAAATGAAGTGTGGAGAACGGTTTGAAGTCAAGTGAGTCCAGTGGAGTTGGCTGCGTGTGAATGGTAATGATTGAATCGATGTCATTTAACACATCAAATGAAAACTCGGTGCGTCCCTCAGCTATTAAAATTCCCATCTGAAAAATAAAAATCTCAACATAGAGGGGGAAATAATATAGAAATACACAACTCATCATGTATACAGTGTAAAGTGGTTTGATTAAATGATGTGAATAAAATTACTTCTGAATTTAAAGCTGGGTAACAAACTTTACTGAATATTGTGAACAATCAGACCACAGTATTCATTTTATTAATTAGAAAACATATTTTAAGTACTTGTAAGAAAGTGTGAGTCAATATTTGAGGTCTCTTTTTCACTTTATTGTCCGAAAAAGGTCAAAAACTAGTAATAGAACCAACCTATTTTGAGAGCGTGAAACTTGTTAGATGGATTTGAGTGCATGGTTCCAGTATTTAGTGGTTTGAATGTCACATACTCAATTCATGAATATAAATGTATTAAATGATGCCTCATAAATACAGTATACACCAGTGTTCCCCAACCTTTTTGAGCCGTGGCACACCTTTTTCCTTTAAAACAACCACATAGCACACCACCAGCTAAAACTCATGTAACTCTGCAGCCTTTATTAACAAAACTAAGTAATTCTCGTCAAAGTGTATTACATAGAAAATCAGAGAACTGCAAAGAAGTACTTTTAATCTTTTTTTTCTCATTATTTCGACCAAGTAGGTGATATTGGATCATTTCCCAAGGCACATGCGGCACGGTGGCTGAGTGGATAGCACTCTCGCCTCTCAGCAAGAAGGTCCTGGGTTCGAATCCCGGTCGGACCAGGGCCTTTCTGAGTGGAGTTTGCATGTTCTCCCCGTGTCTGTGTAGGTTTCCTCCGGGTACTCCGGTTTCCCCTACCACTAAAAATATGTCCAATAGTTCTAGCATGCGCCTCCTGTACTGGCGACCCCGCTCCCATCTCTGTGTGGAGTGAGAGACAAATGCCCAAAAATTAACAATTGTAAACCGCTTTGAGACTCAGATCTGCAGTGAAAAGGCGGTATATAAATAAATACTTACTTACTTACTTACTACTTACATGCAATAACATCTCAAGGCACACTAATGTTCCGCGGCACACTGGTTGAAAAACACTGCACTATGCCAAGTTGTTATCAGTTAAATAACACAAAGATACACAAATGTGGAACAGGCCTGTTGGCAGCACATCCCCTCTGAAGTTATCCTGCACTCCACAGACTGTATTTTTGACAAGAATATAAAAACTAGAATTAGTGCACGATTAGCCTAATACGCTGCATACAGGGAAAGCAGCAGTTTATACTTGACAGTGAGTAAAAATCCATTTCTGTGGACAAGAATTATTAATGGAGAGAGTAAAATGGGGTTTTAGATATGTACAGTAGGAGGATGGTTATGTTTAAGCTCCCTGCAAAGTCTCCCACTGGCAGCATTATCCGACCTATGCACCTGTCAGACAACAGTGCAGACATGACGAGGGTGTACCTTCAGCAGAACTCACACGCCTGACTATACATGAGACGACAATATTACAGACGGAACAGCTTCACCCGCCTACAGGCCTACATATGCTCTCATAAATCAGGAACATTACACCTGTTCTGACACATCGGGGGCTGTTTGGTTTTGTATGATTTTTATTTTTAAAGGGACAGTGTGCACTCAACATTAACCTTGTTGTCTCAGGAAAACAAAAGTATATGGATTCATGCTCTTAGATTATCAGACAAAAGTTACAATCTAGTTAAAAGTGAATATCAGTTACTTTTCAAACCGTGAAATGAGGATGAAAGTATTTGAAGACAAGCACTGGTGACCTGCTCATGCGCACCCCTGCAGCCTCCTGATTGGTCAAAATGAATTGAAATCCTTGAGGCCCTGCATCATTGGTTGATCTATTCTCTATACTTTGTTCAACTATATAGTGGAGGGACTATTTTAGATTAACTATTGTTGAAAAAATCTTACTGTACATAATAGAGCAATTTAAGATGCTAAAATCACTTTTAGCATTCAGGTTTTATTAAAACTACCCGGCCCCCATTCCTCACTTTTACTCCTCAGAACATTCACAGCGAGGTCACATACACACTGATTTGTCTTTCCAAAAAACATGTTTTGGTCAGGCACGCTAATACTTTTAGTTCAGTGCTCGTGACGATCTCAGTCCTTTGCTGCAGAGAAAGAAAAGGACGATCTACTGACAGAAGTTTTGGGACGCAGAACTCTCATGTCATGTATATTTACAATGTAAGACCGATTTCTCTGCTCTCTTTGGAGCCCAGTGTGGAGTGACCAGGTGTCCGCTCTGTCGCCCACTCACTAGAACAAGCTCAATCACGCAAACGCCCCGGACAGATCAATCTTCCGTGACACTTCATTTAGACTGCATTAATGTGGAATTAGGGCCCATTACGGCTATTGGCAGGACCTGACAGTCCCAGCGCACGGTGATCCTCACATCCCAGGAGAGAGGCTGCTGAATGGAGCAGATAAGGCTTTTTCAGCTCCAAAGCTTCAGAGTCATTAGATTTCTCTTTCATTCACTGCCGTCATCAGTATTACTAATCAACTAAAGGTATGTGTAAGGGGTTTCGCTTTTGCAATCCGGCCTTTCCTGATTCAATGGACAGTCAAAGACCTTTGAAGGATAAATTCTTTTTCAAATCAAAATCTGATTTAAGCAATACTCATAAATCTGATTTATCTATGGCTGCTTTGGAAATGATAAATCCATCACATCTCCAATTTTATATTTCCTTTCGTGAGTTTTGAAAGAAATGAAAAGCAGACTTCTTAACTTATTTGAATAGTTTATACACAGAGGTGCCCAACCTTGTTCTTCTCCTGTGTACCCCCTCGCCAGCATCAGGAACCAAAGAAAAGTTTTTAAAAATGTTCACTTACCCCAGGAGAGTCATCGTTTTTTTTGAGCCACATTAAAATTGATTGTTTTGTGGCTGTTCTACAAAGGCCTCATCGTTTTCTTAATGGAAGTTTGGTTTCAGATCATATTTTTGCATATACGTTTAAAAAAATGTCTTTATTACATTATGTAGGTATCAACATTATTTAGATGATGTAGGTTTTTAGACTTAACCAAATTGCATGAACTAAACCAAATCAGTTTGTAATCACAAGCCTAATTGCATTATGCGTTTCTAATAAAAATTAACATATTATGGTAGCTCAGTTCAGTTAAGTTTATTTATTTGCCATTTTCAGTAAAAAACCACATTGGACTACATTAGCAAAAAGTGCATATAAAACTCATTCTATCAATGTTTGCAAATGAATACTTTTGAAATTCCCCTGCGTACCCCCGGTTTCAGATACAATTT